TTTTGGGTGATCCTCAGTGTTAGCCCCCTGAGATATGTGGGGAGTGGTTGACCTCTGAGAACCAGCATAAACACTCAGCGTTTCAGGGTGATACAGGTGACAGGTGCTCCTGGTGTCTTGTCCTGGGTCACCAAGTCTACGAGTGGAGACTGTGCGCATGTTGATCTGGGTCCCTGGCCTACATGGGGACTGCCCAGAACTATGTGTCGCAGCTGAAGGGCAAAGGACATGCCAGAGAGAAAGCAGACTGACCCCAGGACTTCTAGGGTCCAGGCTCTGTTGTCCCCTAGCACCATGGACCTCTCAGATCTCTGCCAGAGTTTCAGGGTCACACTGGTGGTGGATGTCCCACATACCATCAGACCAGTCTGCACAGCTCTGCCCACACCCTGCCCAAGCTATGCTGTGCTTGCCCCACCTCTCTCTGGTGGCATTGTGCCTCTTGCACCTCGCCCTGCCTGGTCCTCTGCCCTCCTCCCGTCTACCCTGTCTACCTTTCTGGCGTCTCAGCGCTTGCTGGAGGGCAGCCCTGGCACTTCGGTCTCACTCTAATGTGTCGAATGTGCTCTGCTGTTATTCGGCACGCTCTTGGGGGGCGGGGGGGCATGCCAAGCCCTATGTCCTGCTGTGTGGTACCAGCTGACAGGCTGATCATGAAGGCACCACCACGGACGGTGGCCTCCTGCTCGAAGCTAAGATTGGGACTTCCTCTCTGTGGCCTCCTACAGTTTCCCTGGCCTGACTTCTTGGACTCAGGTAGCACTTGAGGGAACTGGGTCATTTGAAACTTGGCCAGGAGCAGGTCCAACTGGTCTTACAGAGGAATTAGCCTGTCTATGGCCCTCTGGCCTTAGGATGCACCTCCAGCACTCAGGAGAGAGGCTGCACTAGGCTGGGCCATAGGAACCTGTGGGGTAACAGCACCAACTGTGACCCAGACCTGGCAGAGCAGGCTGCCTTTCTCCCTGGAGGGTCCAGACCACCCTGCTGGGAAACACCAGTCTCCATACACCCCAGCTCAGGTCTCCATGAGTTAGACCACCCCTGGGGAGACAGACTTCCTGGGTCCAGATGGCTTGCCTTGCATCTCATCCACCTGCTGTGACACACTCACTACCTGTCACTCCCGGCCACCTTGCCCCCTAGTCCCCACCCCCGCCTCTGTTCTGTCTGTGAGCCGTTCTTGGGCACCAGCCACTCCCTCGCCACCTACCTCCCACACCGGTGACCCTCATCGCAGCACTGAGTGTGACTCCAAGCACCTTTCCCCAGCTTGCCTGCCAGCACTCAAGCAGCCCTCTGTAGGAGCACTGGGGCCTCACTCCACAGCCTGACTCCTTCCCTTCACAGGAAGCACTTTAGTTATTTACTTTTGAGACATTCTTACTCTAACGCAGCCTAACGGACAGTCCTGCCCCAGCTTCCCGAGTGCTGAGGCCACAGGTGTTCGCCACCATGTCCAGCTTAAAACTCCATTTTATTTTTTTTTTTTTTTTTTTTTTTTTTTTTTTTTTTTTGGTTTTTCGAGACAGGGTTTCTCTGTGTAGCTTTGCGCCTCTCCTGGAACTCACTTGGTAGCCCAGGCTGGCCTCGAACTCACAGAGATCCGCCTGGCTCTGCCTCCCGAGTGCTGGGATTAAAGGCGTGCGCCACCACCGCCCGGCAAAACTCCATTTTAAATCTACCTTTAGTGGGTTCTTCCAGGGTGTGACATATTGGCAGAACCTTCACCTAGAATCTCCCAGTGAAGGGGTCGGGGAGTGGCCTGGGGTGGAGCCCTACCTAGTCCCTGTATGGGCAGGGGCTCTGATTCCATGGCAGGAAGGGAATCTTGGTGGTTTTGCTTGCCATTAGTGGGTAACTGTAGTTTGAGATACACTGGGGAGAGGTTGGTGGAGTGAATTCCCTGCTCCACAGTGAGTGTCCCAGGTCTGGGGGGGTTTGAGAGCTCTGCAAAGCTCAGTCACACCCGCTCAGAAGTTTCTCTTGGCCCTAGGTAGCTGTAAAAGAATCACCATGGGAATAATGTTCTTGCCACATCATCACCTCCTCTGGGAGTTGCCTGGCCCTTGTCCGCTTTATCTTAACTCCCTGGTGTCCAGCCCCACCGTGCCCCTGTGATCTCGGGGAATTGGGGTCCTGCAGGTTTGGGTTTGGGCAGAAGACAACTGGTAGTCACGCCGGGACTTGGGGGCAGCGAGGTCGCAGGGGCCTGGAGGAGAGTTGGTAGTCAGTGGCTTCTCCTAGCGACTGCCTGAGGGACTGGCCGGACACCACCATGGCCTGCAATGTCAGTAGCCAAGTGCAGTCCAGCCCTGCTGGCTCTCAGCAGGACAGTATGTGGTGGCGTTGCTCTTGGGCTCCCTGAGGCCCTTGGGGAAGGGTTCCATTCCACCCTCACCAGCAGCACTTACGATCCTGTGCGTGTGCACACTAACAGCTGGTGACAGAGCCTGGTGAGGCGGCAAGCTGAACTACCCTGGGCCTGTGCACCCCAGGCCTGCGGAACACAGGGGCCGCCTCCCTTCCTTAGTGTAGGGCACGAGGTGTTTCTGACGAGATCTAGAATGAGTCCTATTGCCCAGGACAGCAAGATGGTGTGGGGCACTGTCAATGGGAGGTGACAGATGATAACCCAAATGTATGTGGGCCATCTGTATGTGGTGCTTGGAGACCTGCTTTGTGGTGAACTGTCTGAGCTTGGGTGCTGTCACTCTCCTGTCTGTCCTTTGTCCTAGCAGAGGTGGAAGACACCTGAGTCTCTCTGTTTTTGCAGTGGGGCAGCACATAGTCATCATGTGGCCGGCCCCTTGGACAGGTGCCCTGACTTTCTCTGAGAGCCCCGCCTGCTTGCTCTGACCGATCAGTGTCTGTGATCCTGGCCCAGGAAATAACCAAGTCAGTCCATCGGTGTGACCCTTTCCAGGCCTAGAGCCACAGGTGCTGTGTGTTTGAGCCCTTGTGGAGGGTGATGTTTTAACCACCCTGCCATGCTGTCCATGCCTGGGAGCTGCAGACAACTCAGGAGGCTGCCAGGCACACGGTTGGCCCTATGCTCTGAGAGCCAGGACTGTCAGATGGGATCCTAGTGCTCAGGAGGCAGAGGCAAGAGAATCACCATGAATTGAAGACAGAGACCCATTATGCTCCTGTGCTTGGCCATGGCCATGCCCATCACTTTGAGCCCGTCACCCAGCCTCTGCATTGCCCAGCACACCTACCTTCCTGCTCCAGTTCCCCTGCATACCCAGATCAGCACACACACAGGATCGGGGTCTGAGCTGGCACCTGTGCCTGGGTTCCTGGTGGGACAACGGCTGCCATGCTGTCGTCTTGTCCCAGCTCCCAAAGCCTCCCACCAAGTGACACGGCAGCCTCCACACTGGTGGGCTTCAGTGTGTATGCGTTTTAGACGGGTTCTTTAGTGAGGTGCTCACGCGTTCTCAGGTCCCCTACTAGGATGAGGAAGTGTTTGTAAGCTTTGCAGGCCAGAGAAACTTAACTTGAGATGCCGCTGTGGTGCTGAGTGATGGGTGGCATCAGTAGGAAGGCCTGGGTGACTCACGGAGCACATGGCCACTGGAATTCAGATGTGGGAAGAAGAGGGCAGTGAGCACAGATGCCACCCAAGCGTCACCATGCTGTGTACTTGTCCCCACGCACAGCCATTCCCTCCCTGCGTCTGGGCTGAGACTGGGCATCATGAGGCACTTGGTGACACAGAAGGGGAGGCGGTCAGGAGACTTGAGGTGGGCATTTTACTCCATAAACTCAAGACGAAGGGTCCTGTGAGTGCCAGGAGTGGGTGCTGCAGCCATCAGCTTGTGGCTCCATAGTCAGCTCGGTGTCCTAAGGGTGGCTGTGTCCCAGACAAGACTGCCTAGGCAGAGCAGGGGAAAGTAGGTTCTCAGGAAGGGTCTGGGCACCAGGCTGCCCGCACAGGGGTATCAAGGGACACGGCCCAGCAGCTGGCAGGGAGCTTTCCCTCCTCTTCCTTTTTTTTTTTTTTTTTGGTTTTTCGAGACAGGGTTTCTCTGTGTAGCTTTGCGCCTTTCCTGGAACTCGCTTTGGAGACCAGGCTGGCCTCGAACTCACAGAGATCCGCCTGGCTCTGCCTCCCGAGTGCTGGGATTAAAGGCGTGCGCCACCACCGCCCGGCCCTCCTCTTCCTTTTTAACATGGTTCATTGTTTGTAGGCAGTGTCTGGTGTGGCTCAGGGTGCCTGGAACTGACTGAGTGCTGGGGTGCCTTGTTCGTGTTACCGTGGCCATGCTTGAGATTGTCTGGTCTTTTGGCTCACCGTTGGCGATCAGACAGCCTTGGCCAGGCGAGTCAGGTGCTCTGCCACTGAGCTGTGTCCCAAGTCCTGCCTTGTTTTGTTGGGGTTTTTTTGTTTGTTTGTTTTGCTTTGTTTTCCAAGACAGGGTTTCTCTGTGTAGCCTTGGCTGTCCTAGAACTAACTCTCTAGACCAGGTTGGCCTTGAACTCACAGAGATTCGCCTGCCTTTACCTCCCAAGTTCTGGAATTAAATTTGTTCACCACCACCACCCGGCTTGCTTTGGTTTCTTAAAACAGGCTAGCTTCAAACCCACTGTGTAGGGGAAGTTGACCTTGAACTCCTGATCCTCCTAGTTCCCACCTGAGTGCTGGAATGACAGGTGTGCCCACCATTCTCCTTCTTAGAAAAGGGTCTCCCTGGAGCCTCCCACCCTTAGGAGTGGCCCCTGTGGGGCAGTGGCTGCTGAGGTGCTGCTCACCAGCGTTACAGGTGAGGAAACTGAGGCAGGGGGACTGACTGGGTTTGAGGTTTAATCTTTGTTTTGGGTACTGAGGATGGAACTACAGGGCCTCTGCGATGCCAGGAGAGTGCTGTCCTTACCAGCCCTGGGGCTTTCTTCCCGGTCTGAGGAACAGGCTCCCAAGCAGAGGCTTCTTCCTGTCACCTGTCACAAGACCTTGTGGGCACACCTGTGGTGACTTGGCATTGACACACTGAGGGTGAGGCTGTTCATTTGTTTATTATCTCAATAAGTATTATCTCAAGAAATACCCAGTGCTCATGGCCTCTGCTGGTCATCGCAGGGGACGGTGGCTTCTAACTCAGCATCTGCAGACTGTTCAGCAGACCCCCAGCAATGGGAGTGCCAGTTACTGCCCTCGCTCACCCCACCTTGTGCCAGGCCACTCTGGATTGCAGAACCTGGTCTCCCTGACCTGTCCATGTGTCTGTCACTTACTACCCAAGTCTGCTGTGACAGGTGCAGATTGCAGCCTCAGGAGGCTGAGCTGTCATCTTGGTGCCCCTGCAGGGTTTGAGCCATCCCTCGTGTCCTTCAAAGAAACCTATCATTTCCTCTTTTGTGTCCTGTGACACACCCCACCTCATTCCCCCCACCCCCATCCAGGTCCCAAGGGTGCAGAAAAGATTCTCCTAGCTTTCTCAGACTTTCCAGAACCTTCTGCCATGGTTGGGGAGGTGACTGATCAGGCTGAGGCAGAGTGCTGGAAACTGGACCACAGCCCCAACTCCTGCTGCTTCCAAGGCCACCAAGTGTGCAGCAGACAGGGCTGCATGCATGCAGGGTGGATTCCAGCAGACAGTCCACCTGGCCTGGGGTTTCCAGGGAGGCCTTTCAGACAGAAAACAACTGGAGCGGGTGGGTGCAGAGCCCCACCTGCTGAGGGAGGCCAATGATAAGCAGCCTGGACCCCACGACTACAGCTCCTCGGAAGGGTAGGGGCTCGGGGCCCTTAGATCTGTCCCCCCATTTTTCCTCCATGAGGGAGTTCAAGACTTCCATTGGGACTGACACCTGAGAGCTAGCCCAGGCATCGGGACTGACACCTGAGAGCTAGCCCAGGCTCCCAGAGGCACGCAGTGGCCGCTGAGTGCCACTTCCCAGCCCTGCATTCAGGAAACCTTTCCTCATTCTCAGGTGTGTGTGGAGCCAGGCTGGGCCACCCCTCAGTTGAGCAGCAGCCCTGGGACTATGTTCTTCAGATGCCCCGTGGGCCTCGGGGGACTGGGGCCTCATTTGTTTGTGGCTTGGGTTTTCTTTCTTTTTATAAGTTTTCATCTGAAGTTGATTTTCCCAGCATGTAAGGCACAGTCCTCCTGTCTTACCCGACAGATGAGAAGCTAAATGGACCAGGCCAAGAGCCACCCAGGTAGTGGGTTCCAGGACAGGCACTGCCAGGTGCACACAGGGGTAGCCAGTACCATTCACGCCGTGGGAGGCTCCCAGGGTATTAGGGAGCCCCAGCTCAGAAGAGTGAGAGCAGCCCCAGGATGCCTGAGACTCCTTGACTCCCTAAACCACCCCTGCTTTCTGCCTTTTGACGATGTACAGCCTGGGGTGAGCCTGCCGCCTGCTCCCCGCCTTTGTGACCTAAGGTGTCACCCACCTCAGCTGACCTTAGGTTTTTGTCCTCAGCTCCCAGGGCAGCAAGGGAAGGGGCTGTGGGGTGTCATCCACTCTGCCCATGAAGAGCAGAGCCTGTGAGTGTCCTTGTGTGCCAGGCCTGGGGCAGTGAGGGGTGCCAGCCAGGCCACCATCACCCTAGGGTAGCAAACACACTGGTGACGGCCGGTGTGCTGAGCTCTTTCCCATGGGTGCTCTCTGGAGAAGCTTGGGAGACAAACGGGAAGCGACAGACAGTGGACCAGGCTGTGTGGAGCCTGGTGCAGATTCCTGCTGTCCCAACCAGCACTGAAACCCCACACTGTCTGGGGACCACCTCGGGCCCAGAGAAGGGCCTCAGGTGTCTGACTTTTGGCCATGTCAGGAAAGAAGCCCTTGTCAAGCTGGCTTGTCCCCGAGTCTGGGGCATCATGAGAGACCTGGAGCATCTGCTGCAGCCCGTGTTTTGGTGACACCGTCAGCTCTGAGAGCCACAGCCTGTGGCTCCCAAGCTCAGTTCCCACATGAACTCAGCCCACTACAAAGGGCTGCCTCCTCCATGTGTGCCCCTGGGGGCCCAGTCTGGTCACAGGGACACCTGCTTAGGGTTCCCACCGGGAGAGCTGAGTGAGCGCAGGCGCCAGCGCCTCTCACCAAGGCTGCTCTGGGGAAGCACTGTGCGTGCCCTGGCAGCACGCTGCACAGGGCTTCCTGGTCGGCCAGAGGAAGTTCCTTCATGCCTGCTGTCACAAAGGAGGCAGTGGCTTGCACAATCAGCAAATTCCAAATAGTTATGAGAGCCCGGGATGTGTGCTAAGGGCCTGTGATGTCTCCCTGGGCACAGTGGTGGCTCCTGTTGACACCCTGCTCACCCCACATCCTCGTATTGCTGTTCAGAGCTTCGCAGACCTGGATCTGGCCCCACGACATGCAGCTAGCTCCAGGGACCAGGATACTTCATGGTGAAGCAGCTGGCCACCTTCCTTCATGTCCCCTCCCATTTTAATTAATTTTTTTAAACATATATTTATTTTTATTTTATGTACACTGGTGTTTGTATGTCTGTGTACAGGTGTCAGATCTTGGAGTTATAGACAGTTGTGAGCTGCCATGTAAGTGCTGGGAATTGAACCCAGGTCCTCTGGAAGAGCAGTCAGTGCTCTTAACCACTGAGCCATCTCTCCAGCCTGTCCCCTTCTATGTTAGCATGTAGACAGGGGACTCAGAGTAGTTTATAGATAAGCCTTACCCAAGAAGCTGGGTTCTGGCATTCACCCTGTGGTGAAGCCTCTGGGGAACTGGGGGCTCCTGACTGGGGAGGACACTTGAGTTGGGGCCCTGTCAGCAATACTTACCTCCTTTCTGGAGAGCCCAGTATGCTGCTCAGTGGGCCTGCTCCATCCTTGACTGCTCCCCACCAGGAGCGAGGCATCAGGCATGGGCTAGGTCAGGCTTGGGTGTATGGGGCTCCGCAGCTCTGCTCAGCAGGGAAGTCTGGGGTGGAAACTGAGAAAGAAGGGTGACTGTGACTCTCCAGGCTCAGGCTACCCCAGCCCCGAGGTCCCCAATTGGGGACACAGAGTCTGCCTGTAGCAAGGACAGAAGGCTGGGCTGCATGCGCTCCCTCTCTCATCTGTGAACTGGTGACTACTAGGGACCGGGCACGGCACTCACATACCTCCCTAACCTCATAGCCTCTCTACCCTCTGTCCTGTCCACACTCATGCCGACACCCCTCCCCACCGCCAGGCTGTGCTCTCTGAGCCAACACAGGCTCCCAGCGTCCTGTGGATGCTGTGCCTATCATGGTGCTGCTGCTGGTAAACTGAGGCAGGTGAGCCTCTGACAAGTGTTAGATCCTTGAGAGTGTCCCAGTGCCCCTGCAGGAGGACCCCCACCTGTATCAGCTTGCCCCAGACTCTCCAGGCAGTTCTCAGTTGTGGGCCAGGTCCCTCCAAGAACAGGCTGAGCCCCCGGTTGAGGGTTGTGCCAAGGAGCAGCAGCAGGAGCTGTTAGCTGCCGTGTATGAGGCTGGATGCTTGGGTCCACCGGACAGCGTGGCCATCCGCAGACAGGTCTCACACCACAGTTGATGTTGGACAGCGGGCCGAGTGTGGCTCCCTGGGTGACTGGGACTGGGTGTAGCATGGAGCCCGCTGCTCCGTACCCACCCTCCCCTTTTGTGTCACTGTCTTTGTTGCTCAGACTGAACCTCCTGTGGCCACTAAGTCACCTTTCCTTATTATGAAAAAGGAATATGACCATCCCAGGGTGGTGGCCAGGCTGGGCAGGGTGTCAGCTCCTCCCAGAACCCTCACTGCCTAGCTTCTCTGTCACATATCCTGTCTCTTCCCTCATGGCTCCTCTGCCCCAGGCAGCCACATGCTGTTTGGCAGTGCTGGTGCAGAGCTAGGGGTCTCGAGCTCTACCCAGGGGCACCCCAGTCTCTCTCTGTGATCCTGTTGTGAGGCCCGTCTCCCCTTTGTGCTTGCCCGCAACCCAGGTGCCTAGTTTACAGGTGACCCTGTCAACAGAGGCTCTGCCAGGCAGACCCAGCAGGAGTGGCCAGAGAATTGGAGCACTCTTGGGGCACACTGCCTTGGGCCAAGGTCCCTGGTAGTGTACCTAGTTTGTCCCCTAAGGTGACTGCAGCCAGGCAGCTCTTGGCAGGGGTGGTGACCTCCCACAGGGTTGGTGGCTCTCTGCCAAGAACCTAGGTGTCTGCATGCCACCATGCAACCCCCTGCTGTGCTATGGGCAGCTGTGATGGGTCCCCAGACTTGTGAACAGACGCTGTACCCCGCCTTCTGGCTCTGGAGTGCAGGTGGTGGGAGGTGTCTGTTCCTCCCACTTTTCCTCTGTGCCCATGAGCTAGGGAGGGCACTGACGGCCCTTCTGCAAAGGGCCCAGAGTGTGAGGGTTTAGCTTCTTCGTGGCATGTATGGTGGCCAGCGATGTGGGGCCCCAGTGTAGCTCTTGGGCCTTGGGGAGGCTGGACCTCCAAATCACAGGTCACAGGAGATGAGAGCATTAAGAGAGCAGCCTGGTATGCTCTGGGCTCCCCTCTTCCTACCTCACTGCTCTCCTTGAGACTCCAGGTCCCCAGGCCCAGGTGGTGTCCCCCGGAAGCTGTGGCCCTGCCTTCTCTGCATTTACCAGAAGAGCCGGGCCTCATGGTGGGTGACATCCTGCCTCTGCTCAGCCTGGAGAAGCGAAACCAGCCAGTGAAAGCCAGTGGGGCTCCCTGGGAATACCCAAAGGAGATAGCCAATGGGGTGAGCCCTGTGCTCTCCTCTGAGAGAGGCTCTGGGGAGCCCCAGGAGCAGCCCTGTTCAGTGGGCAGGCCAGAGAGCACAGTGGCCTTCTTCAGAGTGCTGTGGGCGGCTACTCACAGGCACAGGGCTGGGAGGTCACTTCTGGTGCCTCTGCAGCCTCCCCACTTCCTGATGTCTTTGGTCACTTCCTCCTAGGTCACTCTACAAAGTCCTTACTGCCTCTGCCTGTGGTGTGAGGTACCACATGGTCCTTGCAAAACCCTTGCCCACATCAGGCAACAGCTCAGAGTCGGGGACACCAAGACCATAGCCCATGAAAGTCTCACTGGCATCCTCTCAGAAGGCCAGCCTGCTGTTCTGCATATGGGGTGTGCATGCACTCCATGTGGGGGTGAGCTGGGCATTGGCTGCCCTGCTTGTGGGTCCCAGGGACTTAGGTGTGATGCGTGAGGATGGCTGTGGTAGGCAGACTAGGGGAACATGAGGCCTTGTGTCCCAGAGGGGTGACACACACTGTTCCACATCCAATAGTGACGCAGGGACTTGGCTCTCTGCCATGTACTCAGGTCCAGCACAGGGCAACCAGCTCTGTCCACCCTGCCCCAGGCTCTCAAGTCCAGGCTCCTGACTTTAAGGTGTGGTTTGTGAGTCAAGTTCTGGCTTCTTTGAGGGGCCATCCTTATCAGGTGTGTCACAGTGGCAAGCACCAAGGACTCAGGTACACAGGACACAGGGTACGAGCTGCTGTGGGGCCTGCTTTGCCTCTGCCAAAGTGACAGGGTCAACCTAAGAACTGTGAAAGGTGGGACAGTCCCCACAGGGTGCTGGACTGAGTCACAGCACACCCCGGCACTGTCGGCTTCTCCAGGTCTCATCCAGATACCCGTCTGCCTGTCTGTCCCGGAGGCTGCATCGTTGGCAGGCACAGCAGGCAGGTATCCCTTCTGTGCCCTCACATCCTCACATGCCTCCCTCCTTCTGTCCGAACAGCTGGTCAGCGAGAAGGTTGGCGGGGCCGAGGGGACCAAGCTGGACGATGACTTCAAAGAGATGGAAAAGGTAGGGGTCCCAGGCACGGTCCACACAGCTGCTGGAGGACAAAGGGGCCTGCACCGTTCTGCCTCAGTGTCCGATGCTCCAACACTGGCTCTCTTCGCAGAAGGTGGATGTCACCAGCAAGGCCGTGGCAGAGGTGCTGGTCAGAACCATCGAGTACCTGCAGCCCAATCCAGGTAGCTCACCCTGAAGTGGTGACCATGGCCCTCCCAGCCTCTGCTTGCCTCCACACACAAGGGTCCCTTCTACTGACTTGCTGGGCTGGGGTGCAGTGGGGCCAGGTCTTCCCAGGCAAGGGTGAGGCCGGGAACAGGAGTTGGAGATGGGAGGCGGTAGAGACCATAGACTCTGCTGTGCCCGTGACACTTCTTCCTGAGGAGGCCTGAAGGAAGGGACATGTGGGATTGGTCCCCTCTTTTGTGAGCTGCCAGGCCCTTGGTGGGGGGGCATGGGAAGACACCCCACCCCACCCCATCACCTCGCCTGCGCAGGATATGTGGTCCTGGTCCAGGGTGTGTTTCAGGACAGATGATGTGGAGAGGAGCCTGTGGGTCCCACCTTCGCCGTCTGTTCCTTTGCAGCCTCACGGGCCAAGCTGACAATGCTAAACACCGTATCCAAGATCCGGGGCCAAGTGAAGAATCCTGGCTACCCGCAGTCAGAGGGGCTGCTGGGCGAGTGCATGGTCCGCCATGGCAAGGAACTGGGAGGAGAGTCCAATTTCGGTGAGGGGCAGCTGAGGGGTCGGGTGGGCAGGGCAGCCATGTCCAGTATTCTGGGCAGCCTTGGCACATGTGCCACTCAGGAGTGGGGAACCCTGCCTGTGATGGCCTCCCCTCCCTGCAGGTGATGCCCTGCTGGACGCAGGTGAATCCATGAAGCGCCTGGCTGAGGTGAAGGACTCGCTGGACATTGAAGTCAAACAGAATTTCATTGACCCGCTGCAGAATCTGTGTGACAAGGACCTGAAGGAGATCCAGGTGCCACCCCGTCCCTGGGTCCCTGGGTAGGTGGGGAGGGTTCCCCCATGCAGCTGTGCTGCTCCATCACGTGTCTGTACCCACAGCACCACCTGAAGAAGCTGGAGGGCCGCCGCCTGGACTTTGACTACAAGAAGAAGCGACAAGGCAAGATCCCTGATGAGGAGCTACGCCAGGCCCTGGAGAAGTTTGAGGAGTCCAAGGAGGTGGCAGAGACCAGCATGCACAACCTCCTGGAGACTGATGTGCGTGTCAGGAGGGCCGAGGACCCAGGATACCATTCCACTAGAATGAGGGGCTGCCCTCCCAGGTTAGGGTGCTGAGCCTCCAGGGTGGATGCGTAGTCACGTCATTTGGCCCTTTTCCTGTCCGCAGATTGAGCAAGTGAGCCAGCTTTCGGCCCTGGTGGATGCCCAGCTGGACTACCACCGGCAGGCAGTACAGATCCTGGAGGAGCTGGCCGACAAGCTGAAGCGTAGGTGAGTGGCAGCTCCCCTCCCACCTCCCGCAGTTCCAGTGGCTGCTGTGTGCCCTCTGCTGGCAAGCACGGACAGTGCACCCAACCTGCCAGGCCAAGCACAGGTTCCAGCAGTGGCCTGAAGCTGGGTTCTGTCAGTGAAGGGTCCTTGGAGCTGTGTGTGTTAGTAGCAGTGAAGTCCCAGGAAGGAGCAGAGCCCTATGGGAGATGGCAGTGGTAGCCTGAGCCAGAAGATGAGAACACAAGGAATTAGCTGGGCCAGCTGCTCAAGTCCACATCCTTTGCCTGCTTAAGTCAGGTGGCAGCTCCCTGGGTGTCCAGGGGCAGCCTCTGTGGATACTTGAGATGGAGGGACTTAGGTTAGGGATAGCCCTTGCCCTGGGACAGCTGCAGAAACAACAGGGTGAAAGAAGAGAGATGTGGGAGCTCTGGGCCTTCCATTCCTGCAGGGTGCGGGAAGCCTCCTCACGGCCCAGGCGGGAGTTCAAGCCCCGGCCACGGGAGCCCTTCGACCTTGGAGAGCCGGAACAGCCCAATGGGGGATTCCCCTGCGCCCCAGCACCCAAGATCACAGGTAGCAAAGCCCCATCCATGGAAGGTGTCTGGGCTGGAGCGGGGCCAGTCCACCCACTCACACCTGCTCTCCTCCATAAACAGCTTCCTCATCGTTCAGATCAGCAGACAAGCCTGCCAGGACACCTAGCAGGAGTATGCGTGAGTATCTGGGGGTGAAAGTCATCATCACTGTGGCTGCTGTCCTTTGGGGTGAGAGAGGGAGAGAGGGACTGCATCCCCCGCCCCCACCCAGCTGCTGCAGGTTGCTCACTTGGGGTCACCCCATGGCTCAGAGTGTCAAAGTAGAGCTGACCTCCACCCACCCTGGCCATTGGCCTATCTGCTCTGCCCTGACATCCCTACCGCAATCCCAGCACCCCTGGACCAGCCAAGCTGCAAGGCGCTATATGACTTTGAGCCCGAGAATGATGGCGAGCTGGGCTTCCGAGAGGGTGACCTCATCACACTCACCAACCAGATCGATGAGAACTGGTACGAGGGGATGCTGCACGGCCAGTCGGGCTTCTTCCCGCTCAGCTATGTGCAGGTGCTGGTGCCCCTGCCTCAGTGACCGCGCCTGCACACTGGCTGCCTGCACATTGTGGCAGCGGCCTAACGCCAAGGTGCTCTAGAAACACTAACGTTCCTCCAGGGAGGACCCTCCTCCCCACTCTCCCAGCCCTGGGCCCCTCATCCTAAGACTTGGGAAGGCCCACCCTGAGGTTCTATCGCCTTCCTGATGGTGGCAGCTCCCACCTGCTTCAAACCCTCCCAGCCCGTTGCTGGCGATGGGCCCCGGCCCCTTCTCCAGGCTCTCCTGAGGCAGGTGGGTCCTTGGGGTCCCGAGCCTACAAGCTGAGGCTGGCCAGTACCCCAGCTTGGCACACGGAGATACCTAGCACCAGCTGCCCATGTGCACGTGCACACAGCAGCACACGTGCACACAGCACATATACACACACACACACACACACACACACACCGCCCACGGGACCACAGATCAGCCTCAGCCCTGCCGAAGGCCAAGCACAAAGGCCCCGGAGAGAGGACATTCCCTGGTCACCGGCGCCTTTGAGCCAGCGCCCTTGCTGCCTGCCCACGGGACCCTGCACCTGTCGGCTGCCACAGGCCGCCGGCAGGTGCCAGTACGCGAGGCCTCCAGCCTGGGTCAGTCACATTCCTCTCTACAGCGGCCTCACAACTTATGGCTCCTCCCTGGCATGTGGGGCCACATCCCACATTCCCAGGTGGGCAACACTGTCCCGCTCCAGCCTGGGCTGAAGCGAACTCTACTCCTGATTTTTTAAGAAGTATTAAATGTCTCTTTCTACAGCCATTGTCCTATTTTGATTGAGGATGACCCTGTCTCCTTGCAAGGACCCCACACAGCCCCACCACCCCACCGCAGCCACAGGCCCATGGTGTGGGTACTTAGACTTTATTACTCAGCCTGTCCCAGGACAGCAGGGCCTGCACAGCCTCAGCTCCCCTGCTTGAGCACGCTGCAGACCTGCTCCAGCACGTGGCACATGCCCTGGTCCTTTGGGGTCCTGCTGGCCAGTGATATCTGCAACATCAGGACTGGGGTCAGGCTCTGCCCTAGACATGTGTCCCCTGCCTCCCAGGGCTGCAGCCCAAGTAAGGGCCTGGTGGGGTGATGGGTACAGTGCTTGGTAGGCCTGGGCCACCTTCAAGACTGGTTCTGTGGGAGATTTCTCTGGTTAGGATTTGGGAGCAGTGTCTTGGCCGTGTAGCCCAGGCTAACCTAGAACAAGACACACACACCCTGTGTGCTCACACCTTTGGGTGCTGGTTAACACTGTGTGTGCCACACCGAGCCTCACAGTGTGAATGATACACAGTGTAGAGCACCCTCTTGAGTGGACTCCACACACAAGAAGGGTGACCTCAGGCCAAATGCAGGACCCAGTAGTTGACAAGCGGACTCACTGCTGCGGATGGAACCTGGGCCCTGTGAGTTTGACGGGTGCCCTTACCCAGCCCCGCAGATCTTGTGACCTTTCTTCCCTGAGACTCTGGGGAAGTGGGAAGTCTGTTGCTCAGATTCTGGGAAGTGGTCTGTGTTCCTCACAGAACCCGGGCTGGGGTTCCACAACCTCACCTTGAGCTTGTCCAGGTAGGTGTGCTCTGGGCTCCAAGGCTCCTGGAACCTCACGAGGTCAGGGGCGCCCTTGTAGAACTCTGCCAGCAGCACCTGCAGGGCAAGGGTCAGCACACCTGGCTCCTGCCTGTTCTTGGCTCTGGAGCTCCCTCAATGGCTAGAAGGGGCCAGGTCCATGTCACCACAGTGTAGGCCTACCCTGGTTGCAGTCTAGCCTCATCCCAAGAAGTCACACCCATGAGCCCTCAGGGATGGCAAGGAAGACGCAGCTATTAAAAACAGCCACACACCCAGGTGTGCTGAGGTGATAGGTGTGCACACCTATCATCCCAGCACTGAGAAAGCTGAAAGAATAACCGTAAGCTTGGGCTACACAGGAAGACCATATCTCAAGAAAGAAAGCAACCACAAAAAACCAAAACAGAAGTGGAAACCATTGACCCTGAGTCACAACTAGATGGCTCACCATCTCTTGAAGGACATCGTTGGTCAGGAAGCTGTCCTGGACATAGGCCATTTCAACGTCCATGGGGATGCCGTAGTCACTGGGCCTTTGCTGCTAGGAGGGGTGTAGGCCAGTCAGAGAGGCCTTGCCTGTCCCCAGCCCACCACACCAAGGGCTTCTAGGGTCTGAAGTTAAGGGATGTGGGAAGCCAGGGTATCACCCAGCAGGCATTAGAGTGACCACTGAGATACCACTGGACAGATGGAGAAGCAGGTACAGCTGCCCAATATAGCCCTGAACTGCAGTCCCCTGTCTAAGACGCATAGCACATTCTCTGTCCCCCAAACATCTGCCCAGATACAACCCCACTATGCCCACTCACGCCCATGCCCCTCAACTTGCCTTCCTCCAGCTCACCCACCTCAGGGGGAGGCATCACCCAGAAAGGGCAGATCTTGGACTCAGGGCCTGGGTTGCCGGAATAGTACGGGGCTGTGGGGACAATGATGGGTTGAGGTAGGTTGGGGGCTCAGTGGGCCTGGCAGGGTGAGTCCCCCCCCCCAACATGGTGCCCAGCTGGGGCCTCACAGCACAGCAGGGCCAGGCAGGGCTGGAAGCCATTGCTGGAGCCTTGCAGTCTCAGCTGGTACTCCATCTGTGCATCAATGTCCTGCAGGGAGGGCGCTGCGGGGCTGTGCGGGTGGCTGTGGTACCAGCCCACTAGGGACAGGCCTCGGAGGAACAGCACCTGGTGGATCTGGAGACATACAAGCTAGGGTGGGGGGTGGGCAGGACCTTGAGCTGCCCTGAGTCTCACACAAAGGCAGTTAAGCAGTTCCCCTCCCACCCAACTATGGGAGAGAGTGTGATTCACATCTGGGGCAGGAGAGTGGGCTCAGTGGGTTAGAGTACTGACTGCTCTTGAAGGGGACTCAGTTTGAGTTCCCAGCACCCACATCAGGCTGCTCACAACCACCTGTAACTCCAGCTCCAAGAATCGATGCCCTCTTCTGGTCTCACTGGGCACTCATATGCATGTATACAGATACACACACACACACACACACACACACACACACTTTTTTTAAGAAATTCATCTAGCTGGCCAGGTGGTAGCAGCATATGCCTTTAATCCCAGCACTCCGGAGGCAGAAGCAAGCTGATGTCTGTGAGTTCGAGGCCAGTCTGGTTTACTAGAGCAAGTTCCAGGATAGCTAGGGCTACACAGAGAAACACTGTCTCAAAAACCAAACAAACGGAAAAAAACACTTGGGCTGGAATCAGTCCCAGCACCCACATGGTGGCTCACCGCTACCCATAACTCCAGTTCTGGGGGATCCGATGCCCTCTAATGACCTCCAAGGGCCCCAGGCACACATGATGCACAGACAGACATTCAGACAAAACACCATGCAGAAGATAAGAAAATCTTAAAAATCACATCTATGCATAGCAACTGGCCTAATCCTCCCAGTACTCAAAAGGTACCGCAGGAGGTTGCCTCATTCTAGGTCAGCCTGGTCTACATAGCAAGACCTCCCTCTACCCCTTGTCATGTAAAGCACCAAGCCAGCATTTCCATACCACACTCACTTCCACATTTGCAGAGTGTGGCCACTGTCCTAGCCACCAGGACAACTGTAGCCCCCTCTCAAGAAGCCCTCACCTCCTCCTCAACGGTGGCCGCTGTATCAGCATCCCCCAGCCGACTCCTGCAGGGGAAGGCTCTCAGCACGGTCAGCACTGTGGGGGTACCCAACAAGAAACTGTCAGTCTTGCCCCAGACACACCCTTGTCCACCCAGTCCCAGTACGCACTCTGATTGTTGATGTCCCAGCGACCGCCAAGGTAGCCCACGACCTCACTCCGAGTCAGGTGGCAGTGGAAGTCCTCGAGACGAAAGGGGAGAGCTGGCTCAGGCTGCACTTCCTATGTCAATGTAGAAGCCAGCCCACCCCCCTGCTATGTGCATTTATCAAAAACCTACCATTAACCTAGGGATGTCACTCACTGGCGAGCAAGCCTGCACCTAGCGTGTGCAAAGGCACTGGGGTCCATTCCCAGCACCAAAGGAAAAACTGATCACCTATTACTTTCTTTTTTTTTTTTTTTTGGTTTTTCGAGACAGGGTTTCTCTGTGTAGCTTTGCGCCTTTCCTGGGACTCACTTGGTAGCCCAGGCTGGCCTCGAACTCACAGAGATCCGCCTGGCTCTGCCTCCCGAGTGCTGGGATCAAAGGCGTGCGCCACCACCGCCCGGCCACCTATTACTTTCTAATAGCGAACACTTACTGAATGCCTATTGTATATCATATCCCTGACTCTTCAGTGCCCCACCCGTCCCAGCCAGTGACCAGGCAAAGGGACTTTAGTCACATACCAAGAGGAACAGCACGTTACTGGAAACAGCTACATTGAATGGCTGGAACTTGTTGATGGCAGCAAAGGACGTTACTTCTACCAGGGTGTGGGGGTTCCTGGAGGGTGCCAAGGCTTCAGGAACTCAGGCTCTTCCCCACCCCACCCCCTCCTGGGGTCTCCCAGCAGCTGAGACCCTGCCTCTGTGACCATACCAACCAAGGGCACCAGGGAAGCAAGGACCAGGGCAGATGGGGTAACTGACCTGGCAGAGTCACGACTGCCCAGCATACAGTAGCGTACTGGTACCTGGACCTTGTCTACACGCTTGCCAGGGGGCGTGGCCTCTGGGGAGAGGGATGAGAGAGAAGTCAGTGTGAACCCTTTCTCCCTTCTCTTTGCATAGAAGCAAGGATGCCCAAGAAATAAGAGGAAGTGGGGCCAGCAAGATGGCTAAGTGGGTCTTGCAACCAAGCCTGATGACCTAACTCTTGAAAGGTGTCCTCTAACACATGCCCTTGACCCCAGCTCTCAGGAGGCAGAGGCAGACAGATCTCTGTGAGTTCTAGGCCTGCCAGGCAGAGAGTGAAATCAGGCTGGACTGTCAGTCAGGCCTAAGAAACATCAAAGCCAGCCTCCCCCATTGCAATCCCCTCCTCTCTGGCCCCTCACCTGGCTCCGAGGGGCCCTTCCCAGGGGGTCTGCGGCCTTTGTCCTCCGCTGAGACCCCGGCCAGCACATCTTCTTCCTCCTCCTCCAACAGAAGCTCCTCCTCCTCCCCTTCGCTGGTGGGACTCTGGTGGAGGAGGGTATGGGGGGGGCGCGGGGGGGAGTGTCAGCTGGGCGCCTCCCTCACACCCTCAACAAGCTCTTTCTTGAGCCCAGGCCTGAGCCCGAGGTGGCATTGCCTTGAGTGACCACCAGAGGGTGAGGGTGAGCAGATGTGCCTGAGGCGCATGCTCCCCGAACCCCCAAGCTTGGGATTCAGCCTCTGCTTGTCCTAGCTGTCTGACTTCAGGTGAGACTCCCAGCTATTGCGAGCTCTGTCTCTCACCTGTCAGTCTCCCTACAGCAGCAACTCCCTCTGCCCATAGCACTCCATAGCTCCTTCAGGGTCAAAGCTGAAGTCCTCCCTGCAGCCTGGGAGGCCCTGCCGGTCCTGTCTGTCCCCTCCCTGCCTCCCTTGTGCTCTCTCTGCTTCAACAACCACTCAGGCCACCTTGCTGTTTCTCCAACACGTGAGGCTGTGTCCTACCCTAGGGCCTTTGCACACCTTATCCCACAGTGCACGGCGAAGGCTTGTAGTCACCTCATCAGCGGCAGCTACCGGCATATGCAGCTGGTGCCGGCGGAGCCAGGCAGCCTTGTACTTGTCGAGTTTCTGGCCCTTGTACTTCACCGATGCCCAGCCACAACCGGACTTCTTGGCTGGGTTGACGAGCTTCTTGCAGTGTGTTGCCCAGGCGCTGGGAGAGTTGAAGACTTGTCCGGTTTCCTGCCACAGGATCCTGCCATCTGGTTGCAGGTCCCCAATGAACTTCCTGCCCTGCAGGGACAGAGAGGGCTGGGAAACGCCCACTCCCGGAGATTCCTAACAACATGCTCCTTGAGGCTTGGTGTCCATGTTCCTCTAGGGTTCCCAAGAGGTGTTGTCATAGGAACACCATCTGTCACACCAGTACAACATCCTGGCATTCAACACCCAGGTGCACAGCTTTAAAGTTAAGCAACAGCAGCCAGACATGACATAGCAGACCAGGCCTGTCAGCCCAGATGCTGGGGAGGCTGAGGCAGAAAGACCACAAGTACAAAGCCTGATAAGACACTGATCTCAGAGGTAGAACCCCTGCCTAGAGTCCCCCCAGTGAGGGAGGGGCTGAAGGGCGTGGTCAGGGTGGAGCCCCGCCTAGAATCCCCCAGTGAGGAGCTGGGGGCGTGGTCAGGGTGGAGCCTGCCTAGCATCCCCCAGTGAGGGGTTGGGGGTGTGGCTCAAGTTCCATTCTTGGCACCACAAAGAAAGTTTTTTGGGCGAACGTTTTAAAAAAAAAAACAGTAAGAAGCACACATCTTCATAGAAGGCCTGGGAAGGAAGACCTCATTTTACCGATGGGGAAGCTGCTATGGTATGAATTGGTTGTCCGCACACCCAGATGGCTGTAGTTACGGTTATGCGGCATTGTGAGGATCAGGCTCTGGGGGTCAGTTTCTCCTTATGCACGAGCAGTGGAGGACATGCACCGTCTCTGGGGGTCGCTCACCAGGTAGTAGATAGAAAGCACCCCCTCGCCGGGCTCCAGCAGCTCGTCTTTAAGCAGCACCCGCAGCGTGACCGCTCGCCTCGTGAGCGCGCCCCCGAGAGCCAGCCCAGATCCAGCCGTGCTGCCTCCAATGCCACCAAGGCTGCAGCCGCGCCCTCCGCTGCCCGCCCCGCGCTCGGGGTCCTCGGCCTCCGCGTCGTCCTCATCCTCCTCCGGTGCCTCCTCGGCCGCGACCGCAGGGGACAGAGGCTCGGGAGCTGCAGCGAGATAACGACGGGCTGCAGCGGTCATGCCCCTCTGCCCGGTCCCCGCCCGCGCGGGGACTCCTACCTGCCATGGCCGCCGGGTCCGGGCACAGCCTCCTCCGGGTGACCGGGCTCCGCCCCGCGCGGGCACGCCGCAGCCCATTGGTCACTGAGCATGGGCGGAGAGGTTTGGCTTCGCTGGAGGCGGAGGAGACACTGAGCCCCTGGACAACGGGGGAAACTGGAGGTTGTGGGATATCTGGAGGAGGACACAGGCCCAGGACCCTCCTGTTCAGGGACTAGGGACCCGGGACTCGAGGCCACCAGCTACCGGGTTGCAACCTTGAGCCCTGGGGCAGGAGCAGTTCAGTCTGCTGGAAAGAGATGGGAACCTGAAGTCTCCAGCCTTGCCTTCGCGCGGGAAAGGAAATGCGGAAACTCAGTGCCCCCGGGACATTAGAGAAACTGAGGGCAGATGGTGCTGATGACCTGGAGGGAAAAACTGAAACCCAGGATCCCCACATTCAGGGGACTATACGCCCCACCTGAGGCCCCTGCCTGCTGGAGTGCATCCCGGGGCTGGGGCACACTAGCCCCAGTAACTCAGCTTGCAGCAGCGATGAGGGAAACTGAGGCCCGCCACCAGGGCGCCACATAGACTCAGCGCCCTTGGTGGTTGGGAGCTGGGGAGGACCGCGATGGGAAGGCAGCAGCATGCTGCAGGTGATTGAACTGAAAGCTAGGCCAGGCCCAACTTCAGCCTCTATAGGGTTAACTCAGCGATGGACAGTCGTTCACGTCAGCCAATCACCAGGTGTCTCCAGCATTCAATCAACTACAAGGGATGGTCCCCATCTAGCCAATCGGTACCCAGATGGTGCCAGGGGCGGGAAGGGGCGGGTCTCGCTGAATACGCGCTAGGCCCTGGGCTTTTGTTCCCATGTTGACGAGGACCTTCGCCCCTGGTCCAGCCCTTGATTCCCTCCCCCAACCCCAGGAGGTCTGAAAATCTGGAATGGGGACCAACCAGAGTTGGGATGGCCTCAAAATGGCAGGTGTGATTGTCCCACTGGGGAAAGAGAGGCAGGATGCTCTGGAAGGGTCTAAGAAATGAGAACCGTTATTTCCCCTCGCCCAGGTCACCAGAACCCGAGCTCCGCAGAGACCAGGCTAGCCTCGGTTTACCTCCCCCTGGTTTGCTCAACATGTGGGTCTAATGACCTCCTGGCAGATAAGGCCTTGAGTGTGGCTCCATGTTCTGGACACTGACCTTCTTCATGAGATACCACGCACCCCACACTCATCCTGTTCACCTTCCTCTCTGGTCCTAGAGGGATCTTTCTATACTGTAACTACTACCACATTCCACCCTTCTCCACAACAGTCCATGGCTCCCTGTTAATTTTTCTTTTCCTTCCTTCGTTCTTTCAAGTTTTGAGATAGGAACTCAAAGCTGGCCTGAAACTCAGTATGAAGGCCAGGTTGACCTCACACTTGCAGTAATCCTCCTGCCTCAGCTTCCCTCGTGCAGAAATCATAGGTTTGCATCCCCACACCCAACTCTCCTGTGGCCTTTGACAGTTTGAAGCAACCACTGTATCTTGGCGATGTAGAGAAAGTGCCCTAAAGATAACATCGTTTAGTTGAACAGATAAAGGAAGGTTGTGCCGCACACAGTAACTATCTGGGTCCCCATCACTGCGCTTTATTACCTGTGTAAAGTCCAAGTGCCCTAGCCCAGGACTGCGGAAAATGAGTTCATAATCTGTTTTTTCTGCCTTTTTTGAAAACAGAATAAGCTAAAGACAGGAGTATTGGACTCAAGTTACTATGTAACTAAGGCTGCCCTTAAACTGGCCTCTACCTCCCCACTTCTGGGAAGACCCGAGTGTTCCACCACGCCTGGCTGAATTTATAGCTATATACTGATTGATTGCACTGGAATTGACTTTAGAGCCTTGTACTAGCCTGGTGTTAGGTACACTAACGACACAAATCATGCCCCTAGGTCCTCTCTGGACTCTCAGAAGTCCAGGCCTAGAATCCCTCAGTGGGAGGAGTTGGGGGCGTGGTCAGGGGTGGAGCCCCGCCTAGAATCTCACAGGGAAGGGCTGGGTGTGACTCAGTGGTAGAGTGCTTACTTAGCACGTGCAAAGGCCCTCTGTTGCATCTGCAGCAACAGGAAGAAAGTGGGGAGAGATCAAAAGGAGAGAAATGATGTGATTTGTTACAATTATTCAAAATAGCAGCCAGTGTCAGGCCTGGTGGCCCACATCTGTCATTCCGGCACTTGGGAGGCTGAGGCAGAAAGATCTGGAGTTAAGTCAGCTTGGGGGGCTGAAGAGATGGCTCAGCGGTTAAGAGCATTGTTTGCTCTTACAGAGGTCCCGAGTTCAATTCCCAGCAACCACACTGTGGCTCACAACCATCTGCAATGGGATCAGATTCCTTCTTCTGGTGTACATGAAGACAGAGCACTCATATACATAAAATACATGAATAAATAAATACATATTTTTTAAAAAGTCAGCTTGGGCTGTGTATCTAGACAAAAAACAAACAAATAAAACCAGAAAAACTGCGGGTGGTGGTGGTGCACGCCTTTAATCCCAGCACTCGGGAGGCAGAGGCAGGCGGGTCTCTGTGAGTTCAAGGCCAACCTGGGCTACCAAAGGTGCAAAGCTACACAGAGAAACCCTGTCTCGAAAACCTAAAAACAAAAACAAAAACAAAAACAACCCAGAAAAACTCAGAATGGTGGTGCACACTAGTCATGCACTCAGGAGGCTCAGAAGTTCAAGGTCATCTTCAGTTACTTAGCTGGAGGCCAGCCTGGGCTACATGACTGTGTCTCAATGAAGCAAAAGAAAGAAAACTAAAATCAAGTAACTAAGTGCTTAGATGTAAGTCTAGTGAAGGGTGATCACCCAGGCTGGGAATGATTTCAGTGTTTGCATTGGCAATGTGTCTCAGTGGGGAAGGGAGCTTGCCACCAAGCCTGACCACCTGCATTTGATCCCCAGGACCCACATGGTGGAAGGAGAAAATCCACTCCTGCAAGCTATGCTCTGACCTCCACACACATACACACAATGAATGTAACAAAAACTAAATCGAGGGGCTGGAGAGATGGCTCAGGGGTTAAGAGCACTGGCTGCTCTTCCAGAGGTCCTGAGTTCAATTCCCAGCAACCACATGGTGGCTCACAGCCATCTGTAGTGAGATCTGGTGCCCTCTTCTGGCCTGCAGGCATATGTTCAGACAGAACACTATACATAAATAAATAAATCTTTAAAAAAAAAAAAAAAAAAAAACTAAATCGATATGAGTGTGCTCAAACAGAACAGCACTGAGAAAGCCCCCTCCCTGATTGACACCCCCCCCCCCCCCGCCATCCCTGGCTAAGGATTTGTCTTGCAGATGCCTGCAAACCATCTTTGATGATCCAGGAAAAATTGTTGCTACACCCAGTGACTTAACAAGCATTCCAGATCTCACTATTATGCACCTGCAGTATGCTTCTGTGATTTTTTCCTGTGACTCTCTCCCAGGCACCTTCCCAAACACAGGTCCCTGTCTTTGCTTAGGACAGGAGCCCAGAGCTGCCGGGATTTCCCCAGGATCCAGCCTCCGCCCAGCACTGCCAGGGAGGGAGGTGACAGCTGACTTGAGTTGAGGAAACTCCCCAGGAACCTGTTTATCCGCTTCCTGGCCAGGCTGGGGCTCCTACTGGAAGGACCCGGGACCTGGGCTGGACATGGCCTCGGCCCTGAGCCCACCCCGGGGCCCCAAGCCCAAAGGCGTGCCACCTTCGCACTACTATGAGAGCTTCCTGGAGAAAAAGGGACCCTGCGACCAGGTATGAAGGGCGGGAGCCAGCATTGCTGAGCTGCCCCAGGAATCCACACAACCTCTCTGGGCCAGGTCTCCACACAGACCAAGGGCCTGGCAGGGGTGGGTGGTGGTGGGAGGGTGCCCGGTGGAACAAGGCACGTGCTGCTGGCTGTGGAAGGTCTTGGCTAGCTGTCTGTCTCTGTGTCTCTTTCCATATTCTGTCCTCTGATTTGATGTCTGTCTGCCTGCCTGCCTGTCCATCTGTCTGTCTGCCTTCTTGCCTGCCTGCCTGCCTAGCTGTCAGTCTCTTGATCTGTCCAGCTGCTGTTTCAATCTTTCTAACTTAGTCTCCCTCTCCATTCTCTGCATATAAACAAGACTAGAGACTTCCTCCAGGAAATAAGGTGTCCTTTGATTCCTGGGCCTCCTCCCCCTCCTAGCTCAGAAATAACCCCATGAACTTGAGGTTCTAGGCCAAGGTCATGGCAGGTGGCATGTGGAACTGCTGACAGCTGACTACAGGGTAAACTGTCAACTCAGAACAACTGAGAGGGTTGTTTTGAGATAGGTTTTCAGAACTATGACCCAGAAGGGCTTGAAACTTGAAGCAATCCTCCTACCTCAGCTTTTTAAGTGTTGGGATGACAGGTGTGCTCTGATACCGTGCCCAGCCCATATGCATTTTCTGCTGAGTGCACCCCTCCATTTTTCCCGCTTACTGTTCTGACTTTGTCTCTTGGTTCCCCACGTGTATCCCCCAACAAGCAAGCCCTTTACATCATGCACTCAAAGGATGGACAGATGGATAGGTGGATGGGTGGCTGGATGGGTGAATGGATGGGTAGGTGGGTGAGTGGATAGATGGGTGGGTGGATGGATGGATGAATGGATGGACAGATGAATAGGTAGATGGGTGGCTGGATGGGTGAATGGATGGATGGATGGATGGGTGAGTGGATGGATGGATGGATGGGTGGGTGGGTGGGTGGGTGAATGGGGAGGTGGGTGGATGAGTGGGTGGATGGATAGATGAATGGATGGACAGATGGATAGGTGGGTAGATGGATGGATAAATGGATGGATGGATGGATGGGTGGGTGGGTGGGTGGATGGATGGATGGATGGATGAGTGGGTGGGTGGGTGGGTAGATGGGTGGGTGGGTAGATGGGTGGATGGGTAGATGGGTGGGTAGGTGGATATGTGAGTAGATAGATGTGTGTGTACATGGAAAACCATTAATCCAGTTGGGTTAGCTTACTTCCATACCACCCATCTTTTCATATTGTGGGGTGCCTTGTGTCTCTATCCCATGTGAGTCCCTTTGTTTTCTCCTTTATTAATTGTTGTTGATGGAGCCCAGGCTCACTCCCATGCTAGACAAATGACACTAGCTGTACAGCAGACCATAGTCTCCTGGATGACAGGAGGTGCCCAGGCTGGACAATGGACAGGGAGGACCTCAGTGAACTGTACTTTCAGAGGCTACAGCTCAGTGAATTCCCTGCTCACTCAGCATGACGGAGCCCTGGGTTCCATGCCCAGTAAGACAGAAACTGGTAATGGTGGTGCATGCTCCTCACCCAGCACTCGGGGTGTAGAGACAGGAGGACCAGGAATTCAAGGTCATCCTGGGCTACATGATACTGTGTCAACAAACTAGCTAGCTAGCTAACTGAATGAAACATAACCTTTACTGAAAACAGGTAGCTTTATAGTGAGGGGAAGGGCATGCAGCCTCAAGGATCAGCCAGTTCAGAAGACCTGCAGCAGGAGTGGGTTATGGGGCACACACAACTTTGCCACCTGGCTCCTTTCTCCTTTCTTCTCTGGCCCCTAGGATTACAGGAAGTTCTGGGCAGGCCTCCAGGGTCTAGCCATCTGCTTCTACAACAGCAATCGGGACGTTCAGGTGAGGATGGGAATGTAGGCTCAGGGTCTCATGGATGGATACCTAGGTGGGTGGAGGTCTGGGGTTATGTCACCAAGGAGGTGGCCCCATCATCCTGGGGACCTGAGAGAGCTGTAGGCCTGCTGCTCACACACTCCTGTTCCTCTGGGCCAGGTCCTGGAGAAGCTGGACCTGAGGCTGTTTTCAAAGCTCAAAGATGAGACTTGGTGGGGAAGCTCAAGGGACACCAGCTATCACTTCAGCCTGGTTCTCCGGGACCAGGAGGTCAAATTCAAGGTATGTCAGGAGAAAGGAGAGACTTCTCCATTGAGTCCAATATTCATAATAAAAATATAGAGTCACATGGAGTCTTACTCTGAACTCCTCAGACTCTACAAGTCCCTGGACCCCTCGTGGTTCGAGATGCCTTTAAAAGGGCTGGTCAGCATAGGTCACAACTTGTGCAAATGCCCTGGGGCAGAATGGGCCCTTACCCCACTTTTCTGATGAACACATCCATCCTCCTTAACATAAACTCTTTTTCCCCCTCCCTAGGTTGAAAGCCTGGAGTCTTGCGAGATGTGGAAAGGATTTATCTTGACTGTGGTGGAGGTAAAGTGACTCTACTTTTCTATTTGGGTGTTTTGATGTTGTTGTTGTTTGGTTGTTTGGTTTCTCCAGACAGTGTTTCTTTGTGTAGCCCTGGCTGTCCTGGATCTCGCTCTGTAGACCAGGCTGGCCTCGAACTCAGAGATCCACCTACCTCTGCCTCCCAAATACTGGAATTAAAGGTGTACACCACTACTGCCCGGCTAGTTTCATTTTTTTATTGTTTTATTTTTAGATACTTTATTTGTGTGTGTGTGTGTGTGTGTGTGTGTGTGTGTGTGTGTGTGTGTGTGTGTGTGCGTGCATGCGTGCAGTGCCCTCCGAGGCCAGAAGAGGGTGTCAGATCTCCTGGAGCAGGAGTTACAGGGGTTTGCAAGCTGCCAAGTGGTGGGTGTTGGTAATGGAGCTCCAGTCCTCTGAACTGCTGGGCCAGGTCTCCAGCCCCTTGTTCTATTTTTGAAACAGGATCTCCTGTAGCCCAGGTTGGCCTGAAACTTTCTATGTAGCCGAGGATGACCTTGAACTCCTATCTTCCCGCCTCTGCCTCCCTCCTGAATGCTGGGGCAACAGGTGTGCATCACCACACAGAGTTGAAATCCACATTTTTCTTTTTGGCTCCTGGTTGAACCTGAGAGTTGCCCAGCACTTGGAGCGAGGTTCTAGCACCTTCTGAGTCCGCTTTGGGGTCTGTCTCTGGGTGTCTGTATTTGTATGCTGTGGGGTGTCTGGTAGCGCTGGGCCCAGATGGACTCCTCCCTAGCTCCACATGCTGGCCTGCCTCACTTTACCTTTTCTGTCCCCACACACGCGTTCTTGGCCTGGATCATCCTTCAGCTCCGTGTGCCATCTAACCTGACCCTGCTGCCGGGGCACCTATACATGATGGCCGAGGTTCTGGCCAAAGAGGAGGCACGGCGGGCCGCCGAGGTGCCCTGGTGAGTCCTGAGCGCCGATGGGGTGCACAAGAAACAAGTTCCAGGGGAGGAGGCGGGGTCTGGGTGGGGCCTGTGTCCTGGGGGCGGAGCTTTGGTCTACGAGGGGCCTAATTCAAGAGAGGGGCAGGGCTTGTGTCTAGTGCACTGCTTCAGTTTAGAAGGGGAGGGGCCTGGGTCTAGGAGAGGAGGCGGAGCCTGTGCTTTTGGGCGGGGTCTTTTGTCTACTGGGGGAAACCTGTATTTATAGAGTGCGGGGCTTGCGTCCAGGACCCGGCCTCAGCTTAGAAGAGGTGAGGCCTAGGTCTAGGAGAGGAGGTTGGGTCTATGAACGGGCTGGGTCTGTGTCGAGGGGCGGGCCCTTTTCTGGGGGCGGGGCCTGGGTCTAGGGTGGGATGAGGTCTCTGAGTGTGCGGTGGGGTGGGAGTCTGTGTCAAGGGGTGGGGTCTTTCTGGGGCAGGGCCAGGATCCAGGTGAGGAGGCTGGGTCTCTGGGAGGGCGGGGTCTGTGTCTTGGGGTGGGGCCTGGGTGGGTGCAGCATGTGTGAGGCGCCTGAGGCCAGGTCCAGGTGGGCCTGCAGGACTCTCAGCATCTCTCGCGTGTGCTCAGGTGCTTCCTGCAGGTGAGCCGGCTGGAGGCGCAGCTGCTCCTGGAGCGCTACCCCGAGTGCGGGAATCTGCTGTTGCGGCCTGGAGGGGACGGCAAAGATAGTGTATCTGTCACTACTCGACAGATACTCAACGGGTGCGCACGTGGGGCTCTGAGCCCAGGGTGGGCAGAGTCAGATGGGGGCGTGGGCCATAGCTGGGGGCTTGGTAGCCAGAGGCTGCTGGGAAAGTAGTCAGGCCGGGGCTGGGACACCCTCTGGAGAAGAGTGAGACTTGGGGAGGATCTCGGGGGCGCGGTCATTCATGCCTAGGGACGGGGTCCCCTGGAGTGTGGTCGTAACTGGACAGGCTTAGCGGCGGGAAAACGACTAGAGGCGGGTTCCTGGCGTGGGTCTCCTAGGCGCTGGCTCTCCTGGGTTGGGGAGTGTGGCATCCCAGCTACTCAGTTGCCTACTCCTCTGCAGGGCGCCAGTGGTCAAGCACTACAAGGTGAAGCGGAAGGGTCCTAAGTATGTGATCGACGTGGAAGACCCGGTGAGTTTTGGGGGGTCCTGGGCTCCTTCCCCCGCTTCCCTGCCTGACCACCGTCTCTCACCCCAGTTTTCCTGCCCCTCACTGGAAGCTGTGGTCAACTATTTCGTGACGCAAACCAAGAGGGCGCTGGTCCCCTTCCTGATGGAGGAGGACTATGAGAAGGTTCTAGGTGTGTGCGATGTGGGGCAGCCAAGGTCTGGACGGGGACACGCTGTGGGGGCCTATCTCCGGGCCTTCTCACTGCCTCCAGGCTGCCCGCCCTCTCTGTTCCAGGTTTCGTGGACTCAGATCGGGAGAATGGCGAGAGTGTATGGGCTGTGTCTTCCTCCCGGGGCTCAGGTGATTCCCCTTTCCCATGACTGCTGTGGTTCAAAGACTCTTTTTGTTTGTTTTGTTTTTTGAGACTTGGTTTCTCCTGGGTTTCCTGGAACTCATTCCGTAGAACAGGCTGGTTTTGAACTCAGAGATCCACCTGCCTCTTCTTAACCAGTGCTGGGAATAAAGGCAGGTGCCACCACTGCCCAGTGGCTCTGTTTGTCGAGACAGGGTCTCATTCTATAGACAGGACTAACATTGAAAAAGAGATCCATCTGCCTCTGCCTCTGCCTCCAGGTACAAGTGTCAAAGTGTGTCACCCCTGCTATGCTTTCTTGATAGGCTCTCTTATAGCCAAGGGCTCAGGTGACAGGCACCCACCACTACACTAGGATCCCAAGGATTGTATTTGATTTTTATTTTATCATCATCATCATCATCATCATCATCATTTTTTTTTTGAGACTCTGGCTATCCTGGAACTATGTAGACCAGGCTGTCCTGAAACTCACAGAGATCCACCTGCCTCTGCCTCCTGAGTGCTGGAACTAAGGGCCCAGCTCCAAAGGATTTTATTAATAGAGATGGGTAAAGAAGAGGACTAGCCACCTCAGAGAGACCTGGGGCGGGAGCTGGGCAGGGAGGGGATGCTAGGTCTCCTTTATCAAGTGAGGGAGAGGCAACATGTCTTGTAGAGGACTGAGGGGAATGCAGCATGCATTCTTGAGCCCAGTCCTGAGCCACACACACACACTCAGTGCTCTCAACTGAGTGTGTGCACATCTGAGGCTCATACACCTCTGTACACACACACACACACACACACACACACAGTGCTCTCAACTGAGTGTGTGCACATCTGAGGCTCATACACACCTCTGTATACACACTCACACACACACAGTGCTCTCAACTGAGTGTGTGCACATCTAAGGCTCATACACACCTCTGTATACACACTCACACACACACAGTGCTCTCAACTGAGTGTGTGCATATCTGAGGCTCATACACACCTCTATATACACACTCACACACACAGTGCTCTCAACTGAGTGTGTGCATATCTGAGGCTCATACACACCTCTGTGTACACACACACACACACACACACACACACGTATCTGTGTACCTGTCTGAAGCCACAATCCCACATGCATCCCAACATTCAGACACATTGTGATTGACAGATGGGCACAGAGGGACACTTATGTCTCTCTGCAGGCACACCCTAAGAGGTTTATACCACAGAGGCCCTAACAGTGACTGTTTCTCATCAGGCCCTGCCCCCCATACTAATGTCCCAAAGCCACTCCCACCTGTGCCTGTGCCTGTGTCCAGCCAGGAGGACAGGCTGCCTCCACTACCTCCCCTGCCTCAGCTACCGGACCAGGATGAGAACTATGTGACCCCCATTGAAGACTCCCTAGCAGCTGAGTACATGAATCATGATGGTAAGTCGGGCTGCAGACACTGGAGTCGGGAGGTGGTTGGTGACACCCTGTGACATCTCTCTCCTGTCCATGCAGTGTCTCCCTCTAGTCAGCCAGTCCCCTCGAAGCCCAAGAAGCCGGCGAAGCTCCCAGCAAAACCCCCAAAGCCACCAGTTGTGCCCAAACCCGGTAGGGCTCCGACCTCCCCATTTCCCCTCTCGGTGGCAGGTGGCCTTAGATCTCATCTGCGTCCTTCTGCAGATCTCAAAGCCATCACCAGTGTATGGGCCAGGAAGCCGGGTGGCAGCTCACCACAGGCTCCCTCCCTCGTGACAAGTAAGGAGACTTCGGGGGCCTGGATGCATGGTGGGCAGGTCCTGGGTGCGGCACAGTCCAGAGTGTTCTAGCTGAAGTCTGGATCCCCACCCACCAGGGCTGGGGGATATCACGGCTGAGCTGGAAGAGAAACTGCAGAAGAGGAGAGCATTGGAACACTGATCCAAGCTCCAGGGACCAGTGGGCTATCTTGGGGCGCAGTAGTCCTCCACCGGCTCTGTCCTGAGGGGACTGGACATACCCAGCCTGGAGGAATGCCTGTCCTCCAAACAGTGAAGCAGGGAAGATGCCTGGGAGATCTGAGGCTAGCCTGAGCTGCACAGTGATGTCCGTGGCAGCCTGGGCTACAGAGTGAGACCTTGTTTAATAAAGTAAAAAACAACAAAACTCCACGTGACTGCAAGGTGTGTGTCTAGCATGGCCTCTAGGATTGGGGCCTGTTGGGTGTGTTGGCCTCAAGCTGGCAAAACTGACACCAATCCACAAGGAAAGCCCATTTCACAGCTAAGAAACGCAAGGTCCAGGTCACCTAAGCACCCCATGCCCTAAAATCAGTGCAGTAGCATAGCCAGTGTTTTATCTTTATTATGAAGTGAGGTAGGGAGGGGACTCTGACCTGACCACCCCCCTTTCAGAGTTAAGGCTCCAAACAGCAGGTAGGTGGAGAGCCGGCTGAAGTGCCCCAGCTGGCAGGTGGCCCTGGCCTAGGTGAGGCTGGTATTGGAACTGCTGGTGGCACTACCCCGCTTCTGCAGGCAGCGCACGGCACTGGGGACCTGCAGGCCTGTTGTCACCTGGAAGCTCCCACACCACACCTGGGGAGAGTGGGGAACAGGGAGGCTCAGACAGGAGTCACGGCACCCAGAGAAAGGCCCACCCCCTCCCCGTCAGCCCACCCCTTCTCACCCCTTCCCCCTCAGCCTACCCCTGCCCGCTACAACAGGCTCACCGTGAAGGCTGGAAGCAGGGGCTGTGTGAACTTGGCCTTGAAGGTGTGCAGGAGCTGTTTGGTGCGGGCATTGTAGAAAGACAGGAAGCCTGGGGTGAGGGGAGCAGAGGGACAGGAGTCAGGACAGGGGTGAGGACCAGGGGAGGGGCCAGAGCATCGCGACTGAGGAAGGGAATGTGATGGCACCTTGGTGGAAGTCGCAGTGTACGCCCAGGCAATCAGGCACAGGGCTGTCCAGCACTTTGACCTTGTTGGCGTGCTTGGCGGTGAAGCTGGCCTGCAGCCAGTTGTTGGCATGCAGACACCAGGATGCGGCTGTCTTGCCCAGCTGCTCAAAGCGGCCCAGGCTGCGGTAGGCCACACCCAGGCCAAAGGCCTTGCTGTCCGGTTCAAAGCGCACCTCCCAATAGTGCTCCCCACCATCAATCAGCGTGTCCCCTGAGGCACAGGGACAGAGAGGGGGCAGGATGGAGCCGAGGGTGCACACCTCTTATGCCCACATACTCCTGCTCAGACCTTGCCCCCAACTCCCCAGTTCCCTTCATCTCCCATCCTTACCCAGCACTGTGTAAGACTCAGCTGTGAAGCGGTCCCGTCCCCCACGACCTGAAGACATCCTCTTGGGAGATGGAGTCCCTCTGTGGACAGCAGGGAAGCTCAGCTCAGGTTTCACCTTTCCCTGGGACAACCTCCCTGGTCCATGCCATTTTCCTCAGCTGGAAGATGCCTAACCAACTGAGCTAACTGGTCAGATGCTGCAAAAAAACTCCTATTCACCCATCAGAACCCCGCTCAAAATCTTGCTCACTCACTCTTCTACAAGGAAGCTGTTATACCCCTAAGTCCCTCCCTCCACCCAGTCCTGACAAAACTGGCCATGGCGAGCATGTCCACTAGAGACTCGGGGACCAGGGGAGGTGGGCTACCTGGCTGGGGAGTTTACAGGGGACGCTGTCCGGCCCTTGCCGTCTTTCTCTCGAGCCTTGATATCTTGAACCTTCCCGCCCATGGCATCCCACTCGACGGAGAGGTCCTCCACTCGCAGGTTCTGGTGAGATGTGGACCCGTCCAGGCGGAACATGAATGCTGGGGCCAGGGAGACGAGGCGGGGGGTCACAGAGATGGGAAACCCAGATAGACACAGAGAGACAAGACGGGCAGCTGGTGGAGGGAGATAGATGGACAGGAGGGGCGGCAATACAGGGAGATGCAGGACAGGAAGGTTGGGGGAGCTGACCAATGAGCCAGAGGAACCAGGTAAAAGGGCTGTAGTCTAAATGTCTCTGGGGTCTAGAGACATTTTCAAGCCTGTCTCCCTGCCCTGTGCTGAGGGTGGACCCCCCAAAAAGAACATGGCTACAGCAGGAGGGAGTTATGCTAGACAGCAGAGGGACTTCCAAAGATGATATACAAAAGAGTCACTGTGGGAAAGTATAGAATCTGTTTTTATGACTCATGTTCTGTGCCCAACTCTACAGAGGTTGGAAGGAGGGAGGGAGAGAGACAGGAAGACTACTCCCTCCATCTACACTTGGAATCTTAGCCCTCATGAGGCCAGGGCTGGGGGATTCTGACTTCCAGCCTGTCTCCAAGAACTAAATAAATAATTTATTTTTAAAGAAAGGGATGGGGCTGGAGGTTGCTCACTAGTTAGCATACTGGCTAGTTTTTCAGTGGACCTGGGCTCAATTTTCAGCACCCACATGGTACCTCACAACTGTAACTCCAGCTCTCTACCTGGCCTCTGTGGGCACTGCACAGCCGTACCATACTGACACACACGTAGAAAAAGTCACAAAATAATCATTTAAAAAAATTTACAGCCGGGCGGTGGTGGCGCACGCCTTTAATCCCAGCACTCGGGAGGCAGAGCCAGGCGGATCTCTGTGAGTTCGAGGCCAGCCTGGACTACCAAGTGAGTTCCAGGAAAGGCGCAAAGCTACACAGAGAAACCCTGTCTCGAAAAACCAAAAAAAAAAAAAAAAAAAAAAAAATTTAACTGAAGCCGGGTGGCGGTGGTGCACGCCTTTAATCCCAGCACTCTGGAGGCAGAGCCAGGCAGATCTCTGTGAGTTCAAGGTCAGCCTGTCTCCAAAGCGAGTTCCAGGACAGGCACCAAAACTACACAGAGAAACCCTGCCTCCAAAAACCAAAATAAATAAATAAATAAATAAAAACAAGGCACACATGGTGTGACATCTGTAACCACAGCATGGGACGGGCAGAGACAGGGGGAGCCTTAGGGCTCAGGCCATCCAGGTGGACAACGCCTGAGGAGTGACTCCTGATGATGATTCCACAAGCACAAACCCCCTACATGTGCACACACATACAAATACATGTAAAATAAAACCCACAGGTCACCCTCCTAAACAGAAAGTTAAAAAAGAAAACAAAAACCAGCAGAGTCCAAGATATCTGAGTGAAGACAGAGATGGCCACTGCAGACTGAAGGTGAGCTCCCCGGCAGTCAGAGCAGTAAGGGCCACATCACCCCATTCCAAGACCCTTATGAAGGATGGGTTCCCAGGACACCAGGATGGGTGGGAGATACTGAGTCAGGGAGGGTAGGAGGCAGGCACCTGGCGTCTCCAAGGTCACCGGCTCAGAGAATTCCCCAGCCACCGCCTTGTTACAGGCCTTCACACGGAAGTTCATGTATTTCATGTCAAATTTGAGACCTAGGAGGGAAGAGAGGACATAATACCAGAGGGGCCCCACCCTAGTCTGTCAGTCTGTCTGTGTCTCATTTAAGATTTATTTCTAGGTTTCTGGGTGTTTTGCCCACATGTGTGTCTGTGCACTACCTGTGTGCAGTGCCTGTGGAGGCCAGAAGGGGGTGTTTAGTCCCCTGGAGCTGGAGTTACAGGTGGTCATGAGCCACCATGTGGGTGCTGGGAACTGAACCCAGATCCTCTGCAAGAGCATCCAGTGCTCTAACCACTGATCAGTCTCTCAGGCCCCTTAATTATCACTGCTGATGTTTGGCCTGCCTGCTCCACCCTCTTTTCCTGACCTTGGCCTCCCTGATTCTCCTGCCTCCACCTCCCCAGTGCTGGGAAGATGAGTGTGCACCAAGCTGGGGGTGGAACCCATGGCTTTCTCCCTGCTAGGTGAGCACTGTGGCACCTGAGCCATGCATGCCTCCCTGCATCTCTTTGGTTTGGAGCTAAACTAGATATTCCACAAGCCGCCACCAGTGGGAAGATGGGATCCCTCACTGTGCTTGTGTCTGGGATTATCCCCAGATAAAAGTCACAACAAAACCAGTAAGAGGCAGAGGGGCCTGAGGTCCGGATTCTGGGGTCCTATAAAAAAGGGGGGGTAGGTTTGTTTTGATTTCTGTATGGAAGGGAAGCCAGTAGGTTCTGGGGCTCTGGCACGGGCTGGCAAGGCCATTCCCCCTGCAATTGGCATGCTCATTATTAACCATGAATGCTAATTACAGATAACTAGCAGGCTGGTGATTATAGCCCAAGAGTTGAAGAGTTAGGGAGGAAAATCAGGGGTTCCCGGCTCTGAAAAGCTTTGTAAACTCATTAGGGCCCTGATGATTCCCGCCTCCTGAGCCTCCTCCTGCCCGCTGTGAGGATGCCTAGATGTTCTGACTTCCAATTACCCAGAGACTCCCTGAATATCTGAGGGGCCCCTGAATGCCAGGATTGGGAGTTCACTGCTCACTAGTGAGTGGACGGTGAGGAAGCGTGGTGGGTAAAGGTGCAGGAATGTGAAGACTGAATCCAGCCACCCAGGAAAGAGCCAGGCATGGCACATGCAGACTGTAGCCCTGAGGTGGAGACAGGATTCCTGGGTCTTGGCAGCCAGACAGCCTAGCTAACTGTGAGCTCCAGGCCATTGAGACCCATCTCAAGAAGGGGGGGGGGGGCACTGAGGGTGACGGTCAACACTGACCTCTGACCTCCTCACTGGCACACACACAGCGAGAATGAAGGACCAGCAGCTGGATGGTAGAGCTATAGAGAAGCTACACGTGAAGTTCCTCCCATGCCTCAGTTTCCTCTGCTTTCAAATGGCTTTGAGAAACCAGCCCTTCACACGGGACAAACCCATCCATCTTGCCTTCTGTTCTGCTGATGGCTCTGTCGGGCTAACCCCACCAGCCTGCTCTCAGACCCCACGAGTTGCAGGAAGCCAGGAGTACCAACACACCTTGGTGTTTGATGGGGCAATGGAGCCCAGGGTGGGGGGCGTGGGGGAGTTGGGAGATGGACAGCTAAGCTGAGCTGGTAGTGCTCCCTTTCTTGCCTAGGCATGCTCCCTCTACCTAAAGGTGCTCCCTCTCTTGCCTAAGATTGCTCCTTCACCTATCAGGGAATGCTTCCTCTCCTGCCTGGGAGTGGACCTTCCTGTGGGGGAGTGCTCCTTCTCCTGCCTAGGAGTTTTCCTTCACTCTGCAGGGAGTACTCCTTCATCTGCCTGAGAGTGTTCCCCATCAGGTTGTATTCCCCCACAAGCTTGTCTGCTCCTTCATACACCTGAGAAT